TTATTAATAAAAACAAAGTGTTTGCGGTTTGATAAGTAACTATGAAGCCATTTTATATTTATGTAGTTTAATCCGTAGTATTTTAGTTTTCAAGAAGGATTTCATGGTTGACAGTATCAAAAGCCTTCGACAAGTCAATAAAAACACCTAATGTATATTGGGATCTTTGAAAGGAATTTGAGATTTCTCGTACAAATTAGATGATTGCATGTTCGGTAAAATCCTTTCCGTACTTACGTATTATTAATTTCAAAATTTTCTTTCTTTTGTCCAAGGCAAAGGTTTTTTAAAAGATTAATAACATAAAAATATAATCAATTCCACGTTTCTCTGAAAAATAACATAATAATGATTTTTTTTTCAATTTGTAAAATTTAATGCTTTTGTTAAAAAAAAGAAAAAGAAATTAAGTTTGATGAGAGATAAAAAACAAACTAAATCTTTAAATAATATAGTTTTTATTTTTATTATGCTGTATATAGAGTGACCATTTCTTAATATTAAACTTTTAAAAAATATAAATTTTAGTTCTATTATGCTATATACAGTATTGGATAGAACATTTGCAACCAAAGTCGACCAATGCTAAAAAGTGTTACTAATTTTACATGTCTTAAAAACGAAACGAACTATACTACCACAGCAAAGTGTTTTATTGAAAAACATTAATACAAGAAGTGAAATACAACAAGTGTTTCATTACATCAATACAGTCCACATCCAACCAAGACGTTGCGTTCCACAGAGCATTATTGTATCATCACAAAGTAAATTTAACACGTTAAGCCTTGAGAAGCGTGATTATTTATTTTTATTATTTTTATGACTTCAAATGCAAAAATGGCTCCCGAAAGTCTTGGATTGGAACAAAGAAAGGAAAGTATTGACGATTACGTAAGCGCAATGTCACAAAAAAGTATTTGTGATAAATATCGCGTGAAAAAATGGACCGTATCTAGACTATGTCAGGGTTCCAAATATCGTTCTACGGGGTAGTTGGCAGCAGATAATAAAGACCGCGTTCAACCACTTCTAGAGAGGATTCTATGATCGTCAGATCTGTCAAGAAGGATTCCTGGATATCATCAGTCGAGAAACAAAAGCAATTAGAGCTGCATGTATCGGACCGAACAATCAGACGACGTGCTGTTGAAGCCGGATTCTTTTTTCGACGCCCTGCAAAGAAACCGCTGATTTCACTAAAGAACCAGGAGAAAAGACTCCTGTTAGCTACATCTCATATTGACTGGAATGTGCAGAAATGGCGAACTGTCCTATTCAGTGATGAATCGAAATTCAACATCATTGGGAGCGATGGCATTTGCCGTGTACGTTGACTAACCGGAAAACCCCTCAATTAACGTTTCTGTCATAAGACCGTGAAGCATGGTGGAGGCAATGTAATGGTCTGGGGGTGTTTTTTTTCTAACGATCTTGGTCCAATGCATCGAAACGATGGAATAATAGACCGTTTCATGTATAAAAGTATCCTGAAAGATGTTATGTTACCTCATACTGAATGTAATATGCTAATAAAATGGGTTTTTCAGCAAGACATCGATCCGAAATACACTTCAAAAGTTGTCAAGCAGTGGTTTCAAGACAACCTCATATTAGTGATGGAATGGCCGCCTCAATCTGCGGATCTCAACCCTATTGAGAATCTGTGTGAGATGGAATAAATCGTGAAGGTGTTCGTAATAAGGACCAACTGTTTGAACAAATCCAAAAGGCCTGTGCAGCGATTCCACAAAGTTTCATTGATCACCTGATCGAACCTAGCCTCGAAGATGCAAGGCTGTGATCGACAACAAAGAATTTGCCACGAAATATCAACAACGAAATACAGCTTGGTCAACATTTTGCGGAGTTGCATCTGTTTTATCCAGAAGGAAATCAACTTTTTTTAAAACTTTTGAATAATTTATTAAATTTCCTGTACAAATAAGGAACTATGTGATAAATAAAACTTGAAGAACGTTGTCTCTAAACAGTTACATAGTTATTTCTCTCAATTAAAAAATAATGCAGCACTTTTATATAAAGAAACTAAATTAGCATTATTTGGTTGCACTTATTTTGTCCGATACTGTATAGAATGAACATTTTTAATACTAAAATTCTAAAAAATATATACTTTTCTTAAACTTTCATAGTTATCAATTGAAATATTGCTTGAGGAAGTACTAATTTATTTAACTAAACAAATCTACATTCAGCAAAAAAAATGGCTGCAAGATTGTATTTGGCGTCTACAAAACGGTTAATTGCTACTTTCTTTTAAGGAAACTTAATGTCCTTAATGTTAGTAAACTTAATTTACACCAAGTTTTACTACTCATGATTAAAACAAAACATGGTACATCATCTATATTTATCTCTTAGAAAAATTGTTAAAATTTATTTAATTATCATGTTTAATTTTATTTTATTACAGAAAAAACCTTTTTAAAGTCAGGGGCAAATCCAGAATTTTTTGGGACTGTAGCAATTATGTCTTAAAAACTTTTTTTACAAATAAAAAAAATATCATTGTTTTTCACATTTGCCGACCATACTAAAATTTAAAGCTTGCTGACTATTATTTAAGATTTTTTAAATTCATTTTTTAAAGCTAGACTTTTTTCATATGTATAACTTGTGACTTGAGTTGATATTTTATGCTTTTTTTCTGATTTTTTTATTTTACTTAGATTTGTATCACATATAATTGCCTTTGATTTTTGACTCTCTTACTGATTCTAGAGTTAAATGAATTTGATCACACAAAAATTTTCTAAAGAGATTTTTTTTTTTTTCAAATTTAATTCGTCACTATATATTTTACATACAATTAAACTTTAATTCATGTATACATTTATAAATAAGATAAAAATTAAAGTAATGACAGGAGCAAGTAGAAGACTGCAGTTTTATCATCAAGCCCATTTCATTTGCAACTTTGCATTAAGTTTCACGTAAACTTAACATGACATTAAAAATTCATAATTAGAAATAAAGAAAACACTTTGCCTTGTACGTAAAAAACAAAGCCTTGTACGTAACGATCTGATAGATGGGTTTAGAAAAGATATAATCATCGTTTGTGATCATCCAAAAGAGATAGGATCGTTTTAGTTATTATTAATTTGATCTCTAAAAGTAGGAGAGTATGTTGACGTCACTTAAGTTAATTAGGTACCGTTAACAGCTCCTTTAAGGAGATTTGACGACTTCATGTTTTTTATTTCTTCTTTAAGGATCGAATTCCAGAGCCGCGGTACTCGAGATAAGATAGAGAAATCAGTTATTTTAAGTAAAGTTTTCGGAATGTTAAAGTTTTGAAAAGAGTACTTTGTTGGGTATTTGTGATCAACGGTGGAAAATTGATATTCAAAGTATTTTGGTAGTAAATTGTTTTGCGATTGAAACATAAATAATACATTATGGAGAACGTTCAATTCATAAACATTAAGAGCTCCGATTTACCTGAAAAATGGTTTGGCATGGGTATATCTGTTAGCATTGCATACAATTCGACACGCTTGCTTTTATTTTACATATATCTTTTTTAGTACTGAAGAGTATCTACATGCCCAAGCGATATTGCAATAGTTGATATAACTGCGAATTAACGTATAATCTATATTTTTGTAAGCAAGTTTTATTTAGGTGTTTAATTTAAGACCATCAAACATATAACTTGTATTACAAGTTATCATAACATCTAAAATATTTTTTGAAACAGAATTCATATCATTGGTTTTCCAAAAACAGCAACTCTAATAACAAATAACAAATTTTGTAACACACACCTTGTCACAGAGAAACACACACCTTGTCACAGAGAAACATACACCTTGTCACAGAGAAACACACACCTTGTCACAGAGAATAATAGTTCCTAGTAGAAGTTTAAAAAAAAGAAAAAAAAAAGTAGTAGAAAGTTTCTTGCAATTTTAGAATATACTATAATCCTATCTGAATTCAATGATAAATAACTTGTAGAACAGCAATAACATGGTCAACTTGACTTAGCTACAGTTTTAAATAAACTTTTAAAGCGCCGCATTTTAACTTCCTGTACACTTTTGTTCAAATCTTGTTAAAATTATTTTTCTTTTTCGCAATTTAAAATGAAATGTATGTTACAAATAAAAAAAGAAAGAAAAACTGAGCTGGTTGTAGCATTATTGCTTCACTTGCTAAAGCCTAGATCCGTTCCTGAAGATGTTAACATTTTGAAAATTAATACCTATTTATTAATTTACAATTAAGTAAACAACGTTATTTGCAACTATTTTATTTTGATAACAAAAATCGCGCGACGAAACAAATGGCGGAAACTTTAAAATTCAAAAGTAATTGTCATAAACAAAATATATATTTAGTAAATCGAAAATTAAAATAACTTTTACAATATTATAAAATATATTTAATATTTTATTTAAAAAGTATATATTAAATATACAACAAAAATTTTAAATATATAAAATATTAAACAAAAGATTTTCACATAACATTACTATTAATTCAATCTCTACATTATTTAAAATCAATTCATAAAAACATAAAAGATAACAAAAATAATTCTAGTTTTTATTTATTTATAACTATATATTTTATATTTAATTTAATTAAAATCATTATTAAAGTTAATTAACAAGAAACTTTAACTTAAAATTTAAACATTCATTTTAGTTTAAAAGTAAAAAAACTTTTTAGAATGTTGAAATACTACTATTGAAAGAAATAATAATGTAGCAAAAATAATAATTTTAATAAAAGAAGTAAATATATAGCAAAGATAATAATAATAATATATAAAATAATTAATTATTTATATTATTATTTAAAACAAACTTATTAAATTATACTTAACAAAAATAACTATTAAATATTATTTAACAAATTAAAATTTTTAAAAATATTAAAAATATAAAACTAAAAAATTATTAAAATTAATTCGTATATTTTAAAATATATTTAATTATATAATAATATATTAAATATTTCAATTATTAATTTTCTATTATTGTTTATACTTTATTTAAAATATTAAACCTTTTTCTGTGTATTGAAGTTTTTTAATTCATCGAGGTTATTAAAATATTTTCCACGGTACTTGATCGACAAAGACTTGAGATTCAAACAATGAATCCATTCATAAATCTCTTCAATGAAATCAATGTCTCTGTGAAGGTAAAGATGTAATCTTTCACAAAGATTTATCCACGAAAGAAAATTTTCTTCAAAATCTTTTTTCGTTATCAAATAACGTGAGATGGATATCAACAACCCTTCAATCTTATCTTTTGGTTTCCATCCTTCAAATTTGATTGGACAACGAAAGTTGACATCGCGAACATTGCTTAAACATTGAATTATAAGATTTTTTTCTTCATCACTTAAAATATTTTTATCAACAAGTAACATCGATAACTTTCTTCCAGATTTAATGTAATGATTTACGAAATAATTTTCACAAGAAGTTTCGTAAGAAGTTTTTCTATTGTTAATCACAATCTCCCACTCTCGTTTATCAACGATTATTTTTATTTTATCAGTAAATGATGACTGACTTTCATAAAAACATTCAATGAATAAATTAACAAAAAAAGTTTCACGACTTGGAAGAGATAATTTAAGTAGACGATCTAAAGTTTTAAGTTGATAAACATAAGTTTTAAATTTAAGTTGACGAAATATTTTATCATAATAAGTTTCAAATTGATAATCGTTATCACTTTGACGGGATAATTTGAGTAGACGATCTAAAGAAAAAATAAATATAAAATAACAAATTAAATAATAATTAAAATAATAATTGAAATTATAATATCTTATACTTTATAATATTCTACATATTAATACATAAATCAATATTAATTTATAATTATTATGATATTTTATCATTCACATATATAAATTTTATTTATTTAAATGTAATTTTTATTTATCACATTTTTAAAATAAAATAATTTAACTTTAATATAAATATAACATATAAAATAACATATAACGAATTAATTTAAATAAATAAAAATACATTCCAAATAAACGTAGAAATTGATTTAAATTCATTAAAACAACATCGTTCACTTGTTTTAATAAAAAATAAAGAAATCGTACTTATAAATAAATATATAACAAATAAAGAAATCGTACTAAACACAGATTTTAAATTAAAGTTTTGTGAATCGAATTCGTAAAAAAAAAATTTAAATTTAGAAAAATAAAACCGAAAATCTCCCTCGACTATCTTTTTCGAAATAAGTTATGTGAATAAACAATAAAAAACATGAAAAGTGAGAGTTTAAATATTCGATTTCAAAGTTGATTGAAACTCAAAAAAAAATAAATAAAGTTTAAAATTTGTATATTTTATTTTACAAAATATATTATATGATGCAATCTCCGTTTAATTAAAGTGAACAATAAAATTCCCCTCAGAAATAAGAAATTTTTATAAAAAGAAATACGGAAAACAAAGGAAAACGATATTAAAACTTATTCGAAAATACTAGATAAAAATCATAATTAAAAAAAGTTTCATTGTTAAAACGTGGCTACCAGGGTTGTTAAAGCATAGCTATTCAAATACAAGTATATGTAAGCGGCATTTTCCAAACCGAACACAAATTCATATTTTAGGTTAAAAAAGATACCAAGAATATTTCAAGATAAATTTTTTAAAATAGTATACTAAATAGAAGAATGAAAGTAAATGAAGAAATATCAATTAACAAATTTTTAAACCAATTTAATGTTAAAAAATGACAAAAACAAACAACGAATCTCTTGATTAATAACAAATTTTTTTCTTTTTGTTAATAATAATAAATTGAAAATTTTTGTTTTAGAAATATATAAAAAAACAAATAATAGAAGTCGTTAAAATCTTTATTTTACAGAATCATTTTATAAATATATTTTTTTACTTTATATATTTGATATTTCTATGTACTTTTAAACTAATGTAACAGACACTCTCGGCAAAAATTAAACATACGTTGTAAGCAGGAAAAAATACAAAAAAATATTTTTACCGGAATAATATCAGAAAGAAAAAAGAAAGAAAGCAAAAGAAAGTAAATTAAAAATATAATCGATTAACATCTCAAAGTGTTGAAAAATCAGTATAAGTTTTATATTTAAAAAGAATGAGCTATCAGTATAAGTTTTATATTTAAAAAGAATGAGCTGTAAATTAAAATTACTTCAAAAATGTATTTTACGTTTGTTAATTCTTGTATCTTAATAAAATAATTTAATACATCAAAAAATAATGATACGCATGATATCTATACAAAAAATTAATTTAAGTTATTGTTTTGTACCAATTTGAATATAGCTTTAAAATACAATTTCTTAAATAATTGACTAATTAAAAAAATTAAAGCTGAAATATACTTACGGAGGACCTGTAACGGCGCACCCCAAACTCAGTGAAGTTCCTAAATGAACTCGGTAAAGTATGAAATGATAACTTTGCCGTTTTATGATTAGCTAATATTAACGATTAAAAATTTAACATTAAAGTTTTCAATTCACGCTTTCTTAGCATTCAAAATACGTAAGATGGCACCTTTAGCTGAGTTCATTGAAAATATCAAATAAGAAGAATTGGTTGATTTTTAGCAACAAAAAAGACAAATGCTACTTCAAAATCTTTGTTTAAATTTAGTTTCTAGATTCTAGGAAGTAAATAATGTATTTTCAACAGAAGTCTTTTTTATTTTGGAATTTTTAAATTTAAATTTTACTTCATCTAAATAATAAACTGACATTCTGGAATTTAGAATGTCACTGTTTTTTTTTTTTTTTTTTTTTTTTTTTTTTTTTTTTTTTTTGTGTTACCAGTGTTAATTAAAAAAAAGTTTTGATACCAGTGTTAATTATCATTATTATCATTTTTTTTACATTTTCGCTTTCAACAAGGCTGCAAGCAACCACTAATTAGTGTTAAAGATACTGGAAGAGAAAAGATGAAGATTGTAGAGCAAGATAACAATTGACAGATGACTTAAAAGATCACAAATTATATGAATCAGGAAGCAAGATAACGGAAGCGAATTCCAAAGAACTGATGTTCGAAGAAAAAAACTAGACGAATAAGAGTTTTTTGAGCACTTAGGAACAGTCACAGAAAAAGGATGAGACTTAATTGAATGATGAGTAACACAAGAATGAATTTTAATAGATGGCACAAGAGACGCTAGCTATTTAGAGCAGTGCCCTTTATAGTATTTGTAGAAAAGAGAAAGAGAAGCAACATTATTACGATGTAACAGAGGTTGAAGGTTAGCTGCAAGAGCAGGTCCAACTATGTTTACAATGCGTTTTTGCACCTTGTCTAAAGAGAAAAGGCATCATTAGAAGATCCGCCAGAAATATGGCAACAGTATTCCATACAAGGTCGGATTTGAGATTTATAGAGATAGAGAATAGAATCCAGAGTAAGAAAGTGTCAAGCTCGATAAAGAGACGCAACTTTAGCACATGCTAATTTTGCAACGGATTTGATATACGGTTTAAAAGAAAGATCAGAAGTGAGAGTTAATCCTAGAAGATAAAGGGTAGATGACTCATCGAGTACATTACTGTTCATAAATATAGGAAGGTCTAAATTATTGTGATAACGATTGGCTGAAAAAAATTGAGTTTTATCTGAATTAAAGTTTACCAGCCCATGCTATAGCAGAAGTGAGATCCTTTTCAAGCTCAAATGTCCCCTGCAAGCAATTAGAGGGAGTTGGCTTCTTATCGTGACAAGAATAAATGGTAGTATCATCAGCGAACAATGCCGCATTAGATGTGAGAATATATGGAAGATCGTTAATGTAAATTAAAAAGAGTATAGGGCCAAGGATTGAACCTTGAGGAACCCCTGAGGTTACAGAATAAGAAAAAGAGTGCTGTCCATCAAGGACAACTTTTATACTACGATTGGAAATAAAGGATTCAATAATTTTAAAGATGTTTCCAGATACACTGTAAGAAGAAAGCTTATGAAGAAGACCAGCATGCCAAACTTTATCAAACGCTTTAAAAATGTCAAGAGCAATGCCCTTAACCTCTCCAACTTTATCTAATGCACATTAAAACCTATCAGTTATTACTGTTAGCAAATCAGCGGTAGAACGAGAAGATCGAAATCCATATTGATGATCAGAAAGTAGGTTATGAGATTCAAGATGAGAGATTAAGTGTTTGTTAATAATGGATTCAAAAACCTTGTTTATGATAAGAAGAAGATTAATGGGACGGCAGTTAGACAAATTAGATTGCTCTCCAGAATTTTTAAAAATAAGGATAACAGATGCTGCTTTCCAGCAGGCTGGAAAACAAGACTCTGATAAGCACTTGTTAAATAGTTTTGAAAGGATAGACGACATCTCCGGAGAACACTTCTGCAAGACTATAACAGGTATATTGTCCGGGCCGCAAGCTGTAGAATAGTCTAAGCAGGAAATCACTTTAAATACAGAAGCTGTTGTGATATGGATGTCGAGCAATGGATCAACCTGTTTGACGGCTATATCAGGTAGAACGCAACTAGTGGAGTCAAGAGATGATATTGATGAAAAATTCTAAGCAAACAATTCAGCATTGTCTTTAGGTGAGGTGAGAAAGTCTGAACCATAAAAAAGAGGTGAAATTACAGAAATACGAGATTTCATGATCTGAGAATAGCGGGCTTTGGCGTTAGACAAAACATTTTTTACAATGGTTCCTAGCAGTAATAAACATACGTCTGTTTTCTGGAGAAATGTTTTGCTGATAGATATGGAAGTAATGGTTTTGATTGGCAATTGCAGCAGCACAATGCGAGGAAAACCATGGAGAAGAGCGAGGCTTGACCTGGAATTGTCGAGAGGGAATAAAGAATTCCATGCCAGCCTGAATCCACAAAGTTATGTAAGAAGCACATTTACCAATAGGAAGAAAAGTTACTTCGAAGACCACGAATATTAGTGAATGATAGGTTTAGGTGATGACTGTGGTTTTTTGTGTTTTATAGTTTTTGTTAATTTATTCATTTTTAAATTTGTTAAAGAACTTGACTCGAAACATAGATAGTTCTCAGTACACTGTTTTATAGCCCAAGCAATTGCCTCATTACTATTAATAAGCCCTAAGCCGTAACAAAGGACTCCAATGCAGCCTTGGCAATGCACACCAGAAATACAAACAAGGACACCATCCATGCGCAACATGTTGGTGGAATCACCCTCTCTGAGAGCTACTACAGAGTTCGGGAAACCTGACTACCAGCCGGCCTCAGAACCATAAAACTGAGTTTTAGAGCTGTACCCTCATTTGGAGATAATAGAATGAGTTGCCTAGTCATAAAAACAGAGACACAAGCAAAACCCATGCTTCGAGTCAAGAAGATCCAGCATTTAACATCCTAAACTGGAAACAATGTATTAAAAATACATCTGCGCCAGCCTAATAGATGAAGAAATGGTGCGAGGCTGGTCAAAAGATAGAATCTGTTTACCCCTTAAGTCTTTTCCTAGGAGACCTTCTACAAGACAGCAGCCGGATGCATGTAACATCTGCCCAAGACGAGTATTTTTATCGAAACACCATCTCTAGCCTTTACTCAACCAAGAGCCCCCAGGCAGGGGGTGTTTTATGTCAGAGTTTGCATCTCCTAGCCTTTGCCTAAAAAGGCATATTCTACAAGGCAGCAGAACATGAAGCAGATTGTACTGGGTTACATGTTACCAGTAGCAGGATAAACCTGACCTGACTATTAAAAACA